AATTATTTGTGATTAGCCTGTAAAAATATACTAGTATACCAATTTTTAGCTAATTAGGTCAAATAATGAAAAAGTTAGGGGGAAAAACGTTATTTCAAAAAATTTTTATTGTTTCCTTGACAACGCTACGGCCATCTTATAAAATATAAAACAAATTTATAAATAAATTATGAATAATTTATAAACATATCTCATTATAAATAATTAAAATGCACAAAACCGAAACCTTTAACCCAAAAAACCGAAATTTTTAAGAAACCGCAAACAAGTAACCGTAATATTTACATTAAAAACCGTAACAGAAATACCGAAAACGAATTTTTTTTAGAAGAATATACAGAAAAGAACAAACCGAAACCGATAAAATTTCGGTTGCCATCCCTGATTATAAAGCTTAAATTGTTATTATAGATCGTAATTAAATACCAAAGATTGGTTTCAAATATCTACTTAGTGATAAGGGCATGTCCAAGGTGTGAAATGTAAACAAACCAAAAGGTAAACAAACTAAACACAAAAATCGCACTTTTGTAACAGCCATTTCTCCCACAAAAATTAATATTTTTTCACATTCTTTACAAAAATGGAAAATTAGAGTGTCAAAGAGTCCAATGAAATCTTTTTTGACTATGACCAATAAAAAGCAATTACTAAAATAACTAATTAAAGTGACCAGTAAAATAGCATTTTTGATCCGTCGCGAAAAATAAACTGTTTGAGTATATCAACCGCACTGACGAAGAAGAAGTCCCAAGTCAGCAATTGGTCCTTCAACATGTGGAAGGGGAAATTTTTTCCTTTCCTCCTTGAAATTACAAGAGAAAGGGTAAAAACTTCTTGATCGTCCATGCGGTTGATATATAGTCAAACACTTTATTTTTTCGCGACGTGAACTCTGTTGCTCTCTGCGCGTGCGCAGACCATACTAAGAATGCATTGACAGCACCATGCACACGGAGAGAAAAAACAAGGCTTTTCCCCGTGACTTCAATTCATGCCTTTTCAGGTAGCAGTTTCACCGGATTTCCCGATGAATTTCATGCGCTTAGCGGTTAGGCCACGCCTTAGCCCTTATTGGCCTTAGCTCGTTGCAAGAATCTCACCGGGAAAACCCGTGAGCGTCCTGCATTTCAGCTATGCTAGGTATAGTTATCAAATTCAATACTTTTTATTACCATTTCCATAAAAAAAATGTGAATTTATATTTATTTATGCAAATGAGATGGTCGAAAAAATGCTTCATTATAGACCGAATAGTGAAGCATTTTTTCGACCATCTCATTTGCATAAATAAATATAAATTCACATTTTCTTTGTGAAAATGGTAAACTAAAGTATTGAATTTGGTAACTATACCTAGCATAGCTAAAAAAATGAGAAAATAACTAAGTTTCATTCAAAACAAAATGTGCACTTCTGCATGGTGCTGTCAATGCATTCTTAGTATGGTCTGCGCACGCGCAGAGAGCAAAAGAGTTCACGTCGCGAAAAATTAAACTGTTTGACTATATCAACCGCACGGAGAAATGGCTATTACAAAAGTGCGATTTTAGTGCTTGGTTTGTTTACATTTCACACCTTGGACATGCCCTTACAGAAAACGAAATATGTGATAACCTAATTCCAAACCTAAATGAAGGTATTAAAACGAGTATTATATTCGTTTCTATTAATAAGATGTCATTACTAACTAATTAAATTTATTTTACTAACTAAACTAAGCATTAAAAATTAATTTTTTAAATTAAAATCACAAAATTCGCAACTGTTACAACTTATGTCGACATGTGTTACAAGTCACCTTGCTACTAGGTGAGTTGTAGCACTATGAACTGTTTTAGATTTTGCAATTTTTTCGTAAGCCCTTACAATTTTTTACATTTTTCATTTTTGATTCACATACTACACAAAATTACCTATCCAAAAATACAAAGCTCATAAAAATAGGGCAATTTTTGGCTGAGTTATACTGGACAATGTAAAAATCGTTTCAACTCACCTCGGTCTCCCCTACTGATTTTTTTGTCAGAAATTTTAATAATAATAAAAATAAATCATTACCTTCTTCATTACTAGAACCAGGTTCACTAATTACTTTTCTCTTCGAACTTGAAGAATGTGATGCTTTGGGATGCTTTCCAAATTGATCAGCTCGAGATGACTCCAGTAGGATTGAATGAGAATTATCTAATAAAATAATTATTTTATTTTAAATTGAATAGTTCATTTTGAAGAATGAAAAAAGTATGAAAAAGTCAATGATTATATATTTTAATATATAATCATATATTTAATATATGATTAAATATATATTTTTATATGTTTTTTGTGGGGTGATGTGCAACACCGCCGATTTCTGATCTACAGTTCGATATTGAACATAACCAAGTATTACCATTTGTTTGTGTCCTCAAAAACTTGTTTCTTAAATGGGGCGTTATTTCTGAACTGTCACAAATGCACGATTACTGTTTCTGTACATGTGTACGTTCAAATAAGAATAACTCCTATGAAAATAAAGTAATTTAAAAAAAAGAGTAGGGTTTTGGAAAGCTCTTTTTACGTACTTAACAATGGTTTTATTAAAAATTATTCTTATTCTTATTATTCTTATTCTTATTTGAACGTACACGTGTACAGAAACAGTAATCGTGCACTTGTGACAGTTCAGAAATAACGCCCCATATATGTATAGCTCACGAGACAGCTCGCAGCTAGATTTACTGTACGTAAGTTGATTTAGTGCAACACTTTTTTCTTTTTTATACTTTACGTGCCATAACTGCGATTCACATGATGAATAAAAAATTTTGAGTTATTGTCCTTTAATTATATTCCTTATTCAGTTATGAATAAATGAAAAATTAAACAAAAAAATTTTTTTTCTTTGGTGAAATATCCACTTTTCAGAGGTCAACTTACCTTAGTAAATTCTTTCTTGGCAGATTTCGATTAGTTTGCATTGAAAAACCCTAAAATTAATAATTAAAGAGATTTTCATCGATATTTATATTACAAACCTTAATTTAACTGATGTTGCACATCACCCCAACTTTTTTGGAAAATGCAAAAATAGACGTTTTTGAAGAAGCAAAAAATTTGTAGGAAAAATTTAAAATTCTGAGAATCTAATAATGCAAAAATATTCTATTATAATGCCTCTAAGTCATTCAATTTTGAAATATTTAAAAATATAATTATTTGACATGTTTTTCCTCCAACGAAAGAAAACGTTGCACATCACCCCACAACACCATAAATTAATAGAAGAATGTATGTCAATTTTCAATAGATGCGAATCTATTGAAAAATTTTTGTTTGTTTATCAATCTAGGACCATCAAAATTTCGATAGTGGTTTATTTCTATTAGTCATACATATATATATGTGTGTGTTTTTGTTAATATGTAGTCCTGGTGTTTTTAAATACTGATAATATTAAAAGAATGTAAGGTAGCGTGGCGTGTAAGAACGTACTGTTTAGAACGTATTGTTTAGACCTTGGATAACAGTTTTTTGTATTTTACATTTTTCTCAATTCGCGCTGTATGAAAGTAACACCATCATATTTCCATCAATAGCTTGTAAGATATGATGTGGCGGATCATTTTTTTGCACGAGTTTCAATTGTCTTTGCATTTTTGTTGTACTAATGCCTCTTATGCCCCAACGCAACAATTCTCGAATATGCGACACTTCCGTTCTTCTCTTATTCTAATTGTGTTAAAACAGTCACCAGCTACTTCACATGTCCAAATTGTAACCATAACTAAAGTGAATTTTTTTATTCTATAATGTAAAATCATCAGTTTTTTCTCTTTTTGTTATTTTTTATTATTTTCTAGTAGTTTTAATAAATGATTTTAACATCTACATAATGTTTTAGTTGAATACACCAAATCCGCCACCATACCTTACAACTTTCAAAAATAAAAAAAATCAGTGTTTTGCGCCAGGAGCTGTAAAATTTCAATGCATTTAAATTTTAACAACCGCTTCTGACTGAAATATGCTTAATAGATGTCAGCAACTGCCTGCTTTTGAAATTTTGAAAAATATTGTTTTTTGCGAGAGAGAGACGTAAAATTTAAAGTGTCTGCCACCATACCTTAAACTCCCCTATCTATAAATTGACAATTTATCTACAGCAAGTTTGTTTATGTGATGCACTCTGAAGAAAAGAACCTAAGAAGCAAAAACTATTAGGTTATGTTATGCCTCTCAATATAAAAGATTCATGTTTAAGTCTTCATTACATCTAAAATAAATTAATAAAAATTCATTTTAGATTTACACCATTAAACAGAAACTTTCAATTTTAAAAACCTCACAAATCTATCTGGTACTTTCATTCTCATATAATGTGACAAATTTAATATAATTATTAAATAGTTCCATAATGATGTGATTACGTTTTTTGGGATCTGTTGATAATGAAACATTCTAAAAAATAATTGTTTGGAATTTTACAAGTAAATAAAAGACTCTCAACTTTAAATAAATAACAGATTGAAGATACGACATTCTAGTAAGATAAAATATACTTGATACACTTGACTTTAAAAAATTGTTGATAGTATTGTTTTCTTCGAGAGAGTCGTTCTGTTAACTATTCGAGAATAAATGGATACAATGTTTAAATATTAGTTTCAAAATACAGTAGAATCCGTTTAAAATGACTCCGCTTACATTGACGAACCGCTTAAAGTGACAACATTTTGATGAAAAGTCTGGTCTCATAACTATTTCAATGTATTTAAGTCTGCTTATAATGACATTGCTTATAGTGACATACCGCTTATATTAAAGTTTATATTGAAATATTTTTGTTAGCCACACTGCTTATAATGACGAAGCCATAATTACTTATTTGTTTTCAAATTCATTTTATTATGAAAATGTCTTACTTTATTGACAATGCAAAATCTCAGTTTGAAACTCTCAGTAACGATCTAGCTGTACATATGATCAGTATAATCATTCGTTAGTTTTACAAAAAAATGCCCCATCATCGCAGAGCTTTCACAATTAAAGAAAAAGGTGCCATTATATGTAGATTGGAAAATGGAGAATCTAACTCGTCTCTTGCAAAAGAATTTGGTGTTGGACATTCCACTATTTCTATGATTTTTAAGAATAAAAACAATGTTGAGAAATCATTTAACTCAAATGTTCTAAAATCAAAGCGTATTCGGAAATCAACACAGGACAGTGTTGAAAAGTGTTTAATTAAATGGTTTAGTGCTATGAGACAGAAAAGAATTCCTATCAGTGGTCCTTTGTTAATAGAGAAAGCTAATTTGTTTGCTAAAGAAATGAATATAAACTTTAAGTGTACTCCAAGTTGGATAAGTCGATTTAAAACTAGACATAATATTGTAATGGGCAAAATAAGTGGAGAATCTGCGATCGTTGATAAAACTTGTGTTAATGATTGGTTGTCGACTGTGTGGCCAAATTTACGTGAACGTTATTCTGCTGATGACATATTCAACGCCGATGAAACCGGACTATTTTACAAAATGATGCCAGACAAAACTTTAAAGTATAAAGGTGAGTTTAAGGATGATAACTTACTAACACTTTTTACTTTCCTTTAATTAAATTACAGAATGAATCATGGTTTTAATTCGACTTTTTCAAATTAAAGGTGAGACTTGTAGCGGCGGAAAGATGTCAAAGGATAGACTAACAATAATGGTAGCAGCAAATATGAGTGGCACAATAAAAAGAAAACTATTGGTAATAGGAAAATCTAAAAAGCCAAGATGTTTTAAAGGTTGTAAATCGTTGCCAGTAGATTACACGAATAATCGTAGAAGTTTCAGATGAAATGTGGAACAATTATAGTGACATTGATAACAATGTTATCTCATCGGAAGAAGTAACAATTGATACCGTCTTAGAAGACGCCAAAAATGATCAGATTGAGGAAGAGGATGAAGAAACTGGCGAAAACACAATCCGGGAAACACCTTCTGTTGCCGAGGCCTTGAAAGCAGCCGAATTGTTAGCACAATTTGTACACAGTAATTTGGTCAATGAAAAAGTTAATATTGCAATGTCTTGTGTACATAATGCAATGAGAGACTATTATTGTTTAAATAAAGTAGAAAAGCAGACAAAAATTAGTGACTATTTGTAATAAGTTGTCAATATTTTATAATTGACAGGTGTACTTTATTTAATTAAATACATATATTAAATTTGAAATATATCTTAGGTGACTGTTTTAATTTAGAATTTTATATTATCCGTTTATTGTGACTACCGCTTAGTATGACGAAATTACTCTGCCCCTTCAATGTCATTATAAGCGGATTCTACTGTACCATTTTATTTGATAAATAATAAAGAAGGTGAAGCATATATTTGCAGAGTACAATTTTTGAAAATGCGCAAGCGTCTTTAACATAAATGTAAATGAGGGTATTATTTAAAATGTAGTCATTAAAATTATAATAATAAATTAGTACCTTCTTCAATATCAGAATCCTTTGTTTGGGACAACTGTTTACTGAGTCCAGGAACATTTGATCCTTTACGTGGTTCTTTACTTGACTGGTTAACTTCAGGTGGTGAGATTAAATGAGAATACTCTAGTGGAAAAAATGGTTTCGTTTAAAACAATTAGTTTATCCATATTAACTAAAACAGTAATTAGTAGAAGTATGTAAAAGCTCTAAACTCGATCGAATTATTTCTAGATTTTTGTGTTTGTTGCCGACTCAAGTTTAATTATTTTAAGTTGAAATGATTTTAACGACAAAAAAGATTTCGATTATACTCAAATATTTTTAATAAAGAAGTATACTCCAGTTGTCGAAAAAATTGAAGCACTGGAATATTTTGATTATTTTACTAATTTAAAACCCTTAAATAATTTTAATATTACAGCATAATTTTAAGTGCACGAATAGTTTGAAGTTTTTCAATGATAGAGTCACACTTACGCCTATAGGTGTCATCCAAATACTGACCACGAGTGTCAGTGTCGCCATTGACCAAAATATTTTTTCTGTTCTATATATTTGCATGAAATTGGTTACTCGGGGGTTTTAGAGATTATTAATTCGGTGTTGGTTTTTTTCAAAATTTAAAATGTTTAAAATGCATTCGAATCAAATTGGTACCGTTCAGTGATCTCTCAGTGGTACCGTTAATATAAATGAAATATAAATTCATAAGGGGGGTTTACAGAGTTGAGACTGTAATAAAAATAATTCCTGTAGGGGAGGATGGGGCAAGGATAGTTAGGTAAGACCTTTTCGGATCTAACGGCCAAACTTGAATATATATCTGCAAATGAAAAGTATTTTTGGAAAGCCTGGTTATTTGGCTATAATTTTGCTGTACATTATTTTACTGTAGACTCAAATCCCTACGAGATATGAATGAAAAAGTAAACAAAAATTTTAACTATCCTTGCTCCAGTACCGGGGCAAGGATAGTTAAAAGAATTCGAATGCTAAAAATGTTATAGAAAATCAGTAAATTTTTGTTTCCTTTATTTTACTGGATTTAGACTATTCAATACTGATATCTCAAGTATTAAAAATATGTATGGAACATTTTCTGAATTGCAATTATTGTATTAAAATTCATCTGAACTAGAATCAGAGGTTTAACCAATTTTTTTCAGACGACCACCAATTTCTTGGTCATAAGCTTCGTTTTTCGTATATATATAATTACATTATGTATATCAACCTAAAAAGAACAATTAAACACATTTTTAAAATTTGCAATGGCATTAACAGGATTTTACAGTGCCGTATTATCTCTAACAATCCTTGCACCGTGAGCCCATATTTCAGTTTTTTCTAAATTTTAAGGAACGACGTGAATTAATTTGAAAATAAATACGATATTTGTGTTTAGCAGGAAATTCCACTCCGGAAAACACTTATGTTAAAAAATATTCTGAAATTCTAATGTAGAAAACAATATGATATACATTACGTTAACATTTTAGCAAAACATACTTTTTTCAAAAATAATCTCCCAACTTCGCAAATGGTGACAGATTGACTTGCAATTTTTACAATCATCTTTTGGTGTTAAAACGCGAATATACCATGAATTACGCGATTTTTGAGCAAGCCGTCTAACAAAAGCATAACAGCAATTAACTATCCTTGCCCCATCCTCCCCTATTACTGTTACTGAAAAATGTTTTCAATAATTATTTTTCAAAAAAAGGTTAAAACTTAAAATTTTTTTTTGCATAATTAACTTTGAAAAAGAAAACATAATGCTTAAAAATATAATATTTTTCTAATACAATCGAAATAAAAATTTATCTGCGTAATTTTATAAATTTTTAAACAATTTTAAAAGGCTACGTTACTATTATTATTAACCTAAGTCTGAATTTATAAGAGTCGTGTTAAATTTAATTCCCGAGTTATTAAATTATTTTTTAATATTTTACTCCTTTTTTTTAAGAAACTCGTGTAGGGGAGAGTGGGGCAAAGACGTTTTTTAAAATATCTCCTTTATTTTCTGTCTATTCCAATTGGTATTAAAAATTAAGTTGCAATGCAATCAGACCAATTGATTAAAAAAAGAAAAACCTAAAAATATCAAATATTTTAAGAAATATAACGAAAAAATTGTTTTGCAAAAATAAAATGATAATTTTACTAAACAAACTTTTATTTTTTAAAACATAAGTTTAAGCATTTAATTTTTAAAATATGTTGTTAACCTTATGTTTTGTAAATATAATACTAATAAATATCACTTGTTAATTTTTTAAAGCTTATAAATGCTTTCTTTTAGAAATATGAGCGAAAACGTCGCTGCCCCAGCGTGTGGGGCAAAGGCATTTTTTGCATTGTTTTTAAATTTCATTAAATAATGTATTTATAATTATAATATACTAAATAACAACTATTAAAATTTCTTGTTGATTAGTTTTAGAATAATGAAAAACAAAGACCGCATAAATTAATTGCATAATTTAAAAAATATACATCGATAAATGTAAACCTAGCGCCTTTGCCCCACTCTTCCCTACTAATTTTTTCACTTATTATCACCATCCTAAAGAGAATTTTTCAGACTTTTCAAAATCAGATTTGATAATGCTCAAACTATACAAAGAACAATATTCAATAACATGATTTTATTTTTACCCTAAATAATACGCTTTAATAAAAAAAAACATTAATTTGCTTTAGAATGTGATAATTTTCCTATATTTAAAAAATAGTTTATAAGTTTCTCAATAAAAAAGGGAGTAAAAATTTGAAAAAATGATTTCATTTCTTGACAAATAAATTAAAACCACCCTTCTAAATTACATGATTACATGATTTTTTCGGAAAAAATGTCAGCTTTTCAATAATCAAATAAATTTTTTTTTAAATACCCATTAGGGAAAAAATTAAAAAAATAAACCTTATTTTTTAAAAAAAAGGTCAATATTTTTTTTTTAAATTTTTTTGTAAAATTTATATAAAATACATGAAAAATGCTTTAAGTTCATTACAGATACATTAAAATCGATAAAGTTTTATAAAAGTTATATGGCTTTGAAAATAGCAGTGTTACTTAAAATATCAAAACTATAACCCCCACGACAATAATTTCCCAAAGTATCAAGCCAATCCTAAGACTTAATTTTTGGCTATGACGTTTGAGGAAATAAAGCCCCATATTTGTTTTATTTTTATAAGTATTGATGTAAATCTATTTACAAATTAAAATTGAAGTACATATTTTAACAACAAAAAATTATTTTAAAAATGTTTGAAGTTCATCTAAATTATTATAGAAATCATGTGTCATAATGTAGTAAAGTTGATTTTAAAAAAAGCGTTTTGCGGTAGAAACAATTTTCCCATTTTGATTTACCGGAATCATAAAAATCTTTACTGGTGCGGTTGGTCCTATAGTTCAGGGACTGAAGACAAATGTGCCTAACAAATTGCAAAAGGATTTATGTCAATTACTTTCTTTGATTTCTCTGAAGCATTTCTTCCAAAAAAACATGATTTCGAGAAAAACGCGTTTAAAGTTTTGGGTAACAGTTTTTAGTAAAAATAGGAGTAAAGCGAAAAACCTATAACTGAAGACAAACTTCAAACATTTTTATAGTATATAAAAATGAGATTTAAATTTTTTTAAAAACCTATAATAGAAAAAACTTTGTACAAATTCAGACAAACGGAATGGCATTATTTGAAAATGTGATTTTTGAGTTCCCGAGGTCAGAAAAGGTAATCGTATTCCTTGTATAAACGTATTCCTTGTCTTCCGAAAGAAATAAAAAAAGTAAATATATCTTTATTATAAATATAATATAATTTCATAAGAAAGATTTCTTTCTACAATTTTCGATATAACAAAAAATGATTTTTTGTACTTTGTTTACTAAAAGTATATATATTTTAAACTTTGATATGGAAAAAATAAATAAAAAACGATTTTGAAAAAAAGTTCAAAAAAGTTTTATTTTTAATTAATGGTTGATAAAAAAGGATTTACCGATTTTCCGACTCGCTGAATACATTTGTGCACATAATTCATTCAAAAAATTGGGAGAAATAATATCTAACCAACTACTAGCCCATAGCAGGCACGAGGGCTAGAT